TTGGAAGGGACCTCTGGAGATCATCTGGTCCAATTCCCTGTTCCAGCAGGGCCACCTAGAGCCAGCTCCCCGGGATCATGTCCAGATGGCTTCTGAATATCTCCAAGGATGGAGACTCAACAGCCTCCCTGGGCAACTGTCCTGGGTTGAGTGAGTGGTGGAGTTTTTTGGTGGCAGGGGAGGGGGCTATCGGGCGGCCCCCTGTGAGAAGCTTCTCGAAGCTCCCCCAGCTCCACGTCAGCTCCACGTCTGTTTGGGAAATTGAGCCAATCGGCTGCGCCTCTGCGATAACGTATTTAAGAAGGGACGTGGTGACGGGCAGGGGGACTTGTGAGGAGGAGTTGCTGCAGCTGCGTGAACACCAAGGTCAGTGGAGGAACGGAGGAAGAAAGAGGGGGAGGTGTGCCGGAGCAGAGACCCCCCTGTATCCTGTGGGGAGATGGCAGGGCGGCCCCCCCCTGCCACCCATGGAGATCTATGGTGGAGCAGACACTGATTTGTGGCCTGTGGCTCCTGCTTGCCTGATCAAGGTGCTGTGCCAGAAGAAGGCCGGGGTCTCATGGGAAAAGGCAGCCCCGCTGCTGTAATTCAGTGCTGGGAGGATTGCAGCATGCGGGGGAGTCCTACGCCGGAGCAGCTCGGGAAGGGCTGCAGCCGTGGGAGGGAACCCAGTCGGAGGAAGTTAGTGACCCATGACGGAGCAGTGTGGGGAACGCTGCGGCCCGTGGGAGGAATTCAAGTCAGAGAAAGTTTGTGGAGGACTGTCTCCTGTGAGAGGGGGACCACGATGGAGCAGGAGGAACAAGTTTGGACACTCCCCTCACCGAACATGAAGGAAGTGGCAGCACTGCCTGCACCCCCCATTGCCTGCCCCTGCGCCACTGGGGGAGGAGGTAGAGATATCGGGAGCAGAGCTGAGCCGGGAAGAAGGGAGGGGTGGGGGGAAGGTGTTCTCAAGATGTGGCAATGCTTCTCACTGTCTTACTCTGTTATGTGTTGTTAGTGTCTGTAATAAATGTATGGGTTTTTTTCCTTCCCCTAACGAGTCTGCCTTTTGCTCGTGATCATAAAAGGGGGATTTTTCCCCATCCCAGTCCTATCTTGAACCCCAAGCCTGGCTCTCTGTCCCTTCTCATTGCCGGAGGGGAAGGGAGAGAGAGCTGCTGCATTGTGGTTGGCTGCCAATCAGGCCTAAACCACGACAGCAACCTGTGCCAACACTCCATCACCCTGACAGTGAAGAAGCGTTCCCTGATGTTCAGACGAAGCCTCCTCTGGTCCTGTCACCGGGCACCACTGAGAAGAGCCCGGCTCCATCCTCCTCTCACCCTACCTTCAGGTATTTATCCACATCGCTATGATCCTCTCTGCGCCTTCTCTTCAGATGTAAGACACATCACCACATCAAGAACCATCAAGCAGCACCGTGCGTGCAGCATCTCATACCCCCCACGGGACCCGGCCATGGTTAAAGCTCCTAAAGCTGCAGGTGAGGACTCATCACGCTAACCCAAGCGATCATCCGGACGCTCTGAAGCAAAACACAGATGACGTTTACATTGGAATTACTTTAAAGGCTGTTAGACAGCAACGAAGCTTAGAGCACAACACAAAAGGAAGGAAGAGCATCTCTCACTCCTGATTTAGAAATAATCCAAAGCTTTAGGTAAGCCTCACCATGCATGGAGATGCCATGAGGGAATGAGACAAGTCCTTGAGAAGAACGGAGAGAAGGGGAGCGAGGAGGAGAGCATCTGGAGAAACTGGGGATGGGGTAGCAAGGAGAATACTACCAGCGAGGAAACATCGTCAGCACACATGACAGGAGAGGAGAGGCAGCCGAAAGAAAAGAAGCAGATGGGAAAGTCAACGAGCTCCAAGAAACTCCCTGGAAAAATGCTGCTGCAAGACACTCGGGACCAGCCTCCCGAAAAGCTGAGGACCTGCACTCCCCCTTTCAGCCCACTGCTGTGGCTGATGCGGAACAAATTCAAGTGAAGGAAACCACACGGCACGGCGCAAGGTTGGCGATTCCTTCTTGAGGTTAGGGAGCGGGATGGCGATACCTCCTCTGCGTAAAAGTTCGGGGAAAGGTAGCACCGTGCAGCCCTGGATGCTGGGGCTCCTGCCTCCGCGGTATACATCTGTACGCACATTTGCACTGAGAAAAGTAGCTCCTCTGCCTCTCCGATCAACCCATCCACCCTTCCGACCAACCCGCCCATCTGCTTCATCTCTCCCAACTCCTCTGCGGTCTCCTCCACCCCTCCCTTCCGTGCCCCATCTCCTGGCACGGCCCAATACAGGCATCTCCCAAGTGCAGTTGCCAATTTGTTTCCCGCCTGAGGGCGACGTTTCTGGTGGTTCACCAGGTTCAGAGGGTTTTTTTTTTTTTTTTTATGAGGAAGGGGGAAAACTGCAAACTTTTAGTGCTGCGTGCTGGGAATCTTCTTGCAAGCAGCACAGCAAGTATCTGCTCCTGCCCACTCCAGGCAGGAGCTGCACCCTCCCACCCCCGTTTCCATCGCTGGCTGAGATGCTGAATATAAAGGAGGTTTATTGGATCTGGATTCTTTGGTTTTGCATTTTTTTTGGCCAGCACCAGACTAAGGATGCTCAGGACCAGCATTTCCATTTAGGGAAAGTAATTGCTAATGACTCGCCGGGGCTGCAGAGCAGAAGGTGCCACACGGCGCTTCACGGCAAGAGCCGGCAAGCGGAGCGGCACGGACCGAGTCCTCGGTGCTGCTTTCGGGAGCTGCCACGAGCCCTACGCCAGCTGAACCAGCATGCCACAAAAACCCAGCAAGAAAGAGACTTTCTGCTTGTGACTGTGAGTGCCATGCCCCTGGACCACACCGCTGGGGAATTTCTTATGGTCTTTTTTTTGTTTGTTTTTTTATCATACTAAATTAGGCATTTAAATCTTGCACATAGTGCTGGAGATTCATGACGTATGTCTCCCGGTCCTGGAAAGGCTAACGCTGATTTAATACACATAGATCTTTACTGATGATTGGTAGCCCATTACACACCGATGGCACGTTATACATCACAGGCTGCGCTCTTCTTCCTCCAGCTAGCAGGAAACCGTCCGGTTGCTCGCAGGGTTTTGCATCCCTTATAGTCGTGGTAATAAGGATTAACTTTTCCAGTTGAACTACAGCGGGGAAGGACTGGGACACAGCCGCGTGCCGTGGCATCTCCATTCCTCTGCCCATAAAGATAAAGGCAGCTCCACGAGGACCATCACCACGCTTGAAGCCTTCATTAAAAGTGCAACGGGCTGGAAATCACTTCCCGGAGTCCGGCCGTGCTTCCGGACCCACCAAGTGCTTCCTCCACAGCTCCCTGCCTCCTTGGGATGCTCAGTGATTTTCAAATGGATTTTGGCTGCAGACAGATTTGCCAACGCTGCATGAGCCGTAGCAAATAGGCGATGGCATTGTCAGACACACACGATAAGAACATATATAACCGGGACGGCCGCCTGCGTGGTCCCAAGTGGCTGTCACAAGCCAACTCGACTACCCACGCAAGACTCGGCGACATCGCTTTCCAAAGAGATCCGGGTCGGCACGTTTCGGAGCAACGCCCGCACCTGCAGCCAGGTGATTTGGGAAGCCACAGAGAATAAAGGGCAGAACAGAGCGTCGCTGACTCAGCTCCACAGTTTCAATAGTACTATTTAAACTGCAACGGAAACGCTGGCAAATACCTAGGTTTATTCTCTCCAATCACAACATACGGGGAGGTAGAGATGGATGGACTCCAACAAGGTCTTGCTGCGAACGGGAGAACACATCACTTGTCACCTAGCTCCCAGTAACCCAAGAAGGTGCGTGGTCCCAAAGCCACGCTCCCACTCTCAGCAGCTGAGGGGTGGGCAACACATCCCCGACCCTGGGGTCCGCCCACTGGTACCCAGCTCTGCCACATCCCCATCTCCGCCGCTGAGAATTCCCGTCCAAATGCCACAGGAGCAGACGAGCTCGCTAAAGACGAGGAGACACCACGTTATCCACCCGGAACCGGCGAGAGGTGGTCACACTTAATACACTAACCACAGTTTTCCTGGCTACAGCCCACGTTGAAGAGCCTGAATGGGTCTCTGGAGCGTTGGACCTTGTTCAAACACAACCCTTATTATTATAACAAAAGAGGGTGGTGGGGATTTTTTTCCCCCCTTCCTTCAGTGAATGATTATTAATGTGTTTCCAGGAGCTGGGTCCATTTCTCTAAATGAGAGCGGGATGGCAGGAGGAAGGCTGATAAATGCCCTCCTCCCCCGGCCTCGCGGCGGGAGCTGCCAGGGGTTCTCGTTCTAACAAGCTGCAGATGGAAGACGACTGGAATAACAAAGTATGAATTTTTATGAGTCTAATAAATCACTCCACTTTTCCTGCTCTTGATCGTTTTCAGCACTTCAGACACTAGAAAAACCCCGGCTATAATCAAATGAGTTCATGGATCTCGTGTTAACGCCTCGCCGTGGCACAGAGAAAGGTGGCTGTGCCTCGGGAAACAACAGGGAGCACTTGTCGGGCTGGAAATCCATTTGCATTTGTGCTTTAAATGACTTAATTTTTTTTTTTTTTTTTTTATTTAACAAGGAGAAATTTGAATCCATTAGTATTCCCCCACCCTCAAAGCAACTTATCAAACTGAAGGCCACCCAGCTTTTACCTTTCCTAACTATCCGTTTAAAAAGACCCTGACCTGACACCGCATCAGCAGAGAAACTTGTATGAACTCTGTGAGAACAGAGGAAAACTTTGCAGGCAACGGATTTATTAAGATCCTTTTAATTCTCCTTTCTCAACTCCTGTATAAAGCAAGAATGGATAGGCTCCAAATCCATCCAGACGAGAAACAAAAGGTTTCAACCTTAAGTTACAACTATGAGTATGTGCACACGTTTGCCAAGGGAAGTATCTGCCAAAAGCCCTGAGGAGTACCATGTCGATGGAAAGAAAGAACCAAGACTTTGCTCTCCTTACCAGAAATCTACTCCTGAAACCTCCAGGACAGTGACCAACAGAGGAGAATGGAGCCAAAGTCAGAGACACCACGATGCGATTAAGCAAAGGAGAACACAACCATCGCTCCCCGCTGGTCTGCAATCTCTTGAGATCAAGCACAGGAATGCAGCTTGAAGCTCCAGGAACTTTAAAACCTGTAAAAAAAAAAAAAAAAAAAAAAAAAAAAAAAAAAAACCACCCTTGTCGTGGGTGCAGCTCTCCCAGTGCTGATGGCAAGCCTCCATCCCACCACGCAGCGCAGCAGCACGCATCCCGAAGGGAGGAGGCCAGGTTAGCTGGGAAACCTGTTGTTTCCATCATCCTCATCCTGCCCCAGCCTTTCATCCATTCAATACGTTTTTTTTTTTCCCCCCCAGCTTTTCATTTGCTTTTCCAGCACAGCACTGAATCAGGGAGGGAATTCATCTTTGACAAACATTTACCGATTATCAAATCACAACTGCAGCCGCAGACAGGGGCAATAAGTCACTTTAAGCAGCCGTCCGTATTGCAGGCTGAGGAGTTTGGGCAGCTCCTCGATGACAAATAACTCCTGTCAAAGCCGCGTGTTCCCTGGCGCTCCAAACCCGTGTTCTCCGTTGTTCCACGCTACCTGGTGTTTAATGACAACACTGTCAGACTAAGACGAAGCCTCTGCGCTGCGGACTGTCAAAGCCCTATTAGAGGAAAGATTGAGACCCTACTCTTCTTAAACTCACTCAAGCAACACAACCCGCTAGTTTTTATAATTATTGTACGAGAGCCATCGATCGCAGGCTGACACCTAACCTATCCGTATGAAATGGGAGTAGTTTGCTGGGTGACAGTTGCTATAGATTATTGTGGGTGGGTTGGTGGGGTGGTTTTTTTTTCCCCCGTTTCCCCCCCCCCCTTTTATCCATCGCTCTATAAAGCCTAGAATGGATTGGAAGGAAGAAGAGGCAAACGTGCGCCTTGACTTAGGTGCCTTTTCTATGCCAGCTCTTTACCTTCAAAGCGACTTTTGGAAGTTTGCCGCTTGCAGGATGCTTCCCCGGTTGGGAAACCAATCTGCCTCCTCCGACTCGCACATCTCCTAGCACACGAGCCGTGCTCAGATCATCCCCCAAGCGTCAGGAGGCGCATCCTGGCATTGGAAATGTTCACAGAGACCGATCCGGGAATTACGTCGGAAATAAATCTTCGAACGCTGACCCTGGAGGCAGGCAGCAGCCCGAGGCTCCCTGTGAACTCCTTCCCTTCCTCCCCAGGGTCAAAGCTCTGCATTTAGGGAGAGAAGCAGAAAACCCAGCATCTCCAACTTCAGTGTTGTAATGGAGGAAGAATTCACGCCCACCTGATGCTACTGAGATCGTATTGCATTTCAGCATTCCCCTCTCAAAAAAAAAAAAAAAAAAAAAAAAAACATAAGTGCTGCTAGTATCTCGGTCCGCGCAGATGTCTGCTGCTGCAGGCAGCCAACAAACTGCACTGGGGCTCGTTTCCATCTACCACAGCATCCGTCACGTCATTTTGGTTTGCTCCCAGAGAAGGACCGGATGAAACTTTGGGTTGACACCCAAAAAAAAAAAAAAGTCTTCTCCCAGAATACAAACGCACAGTCCGGAGTGAATTCGGCACTTTGGGGGATGTTGTACTGAATTCCCAATGCATAAAAGAAGGGAACCGTATTCCGAAGGTGACTTCTGAGCCATAAAAAGAGGCATGAAGGGAAGGAGATAAGAGACAAGGAGGCACTCAGCTGTACCAAAGGAAACTTGGGTTGAAGAGGAGGAGTTATCTCCCAAGGCACAAAGCCTAGCTTCTTGTTGTGGCTGCGCACCAATCTCAGCACCTCTACTTTGATGTCCACCAAAGAGACCACAATAACATGGCCTCTCCGATTTTTGCAACCTCTCTCCAACACAGTTTTCATTTCGTTGGGGAAAAATCCTTTTATCTGAGCTGCTTCCAACAAAGTTAGGGACAGAGGCTGCTCCCAAATCCAGATTACAGGGCAAGCGATGATTTTGCTCCTCGGAAGCTCCGCTCTCAAAACCAACGTTGGGGCAGCTTTACGTAAGTTATTTTGGAAATAATACACGTGTGGCTTGACACCAGGGACTCAGGGCTGCCACTGCATGTGCACAGCCAGCAGTAACTGCATGTGCTAACTCATATGCTGAGACTTCAAGAGATTTTGGAGGGGTGAGGGGAGGAAGAAGAACACTTCTGTCGCTTTAAAGAAACGTCCTCATTTGCTTAAAGCAGCTACAGGATCCGTTAAGTTACTATAAATAAGTATTTTCACAGCCTAAGCTATGCACAAGCATCAGTGCATGTGGTTTATTTGCTCGTATTGCCCATTTGGGTGATACAGCTGGGTGAGTTTGGCATGCATCCGCTTCTTCCACCTCCCCAAAGACCACGGCTTCATCTGCGCTGGAGGAGAAAGGACCCTCGGCACTCCACCGAGAGGCAGCTCTGGATGCTCAGTGTGTGGCTAGATGGCACCAAGAGGCACCCAACCCCACCCCGCCATCCCATCCCATGGTCAAAGCTCCATGAACCGACACCACCAGGCCTTAAGGTGGGACCCAACAAACCAAAACCACTGCTCGTGCACCAGAGGTGAAGCCTTCTCATGGGTCTGATCTAAATAAAGGGCCCTCTTTGGAAAACAGGCAGCGAGAGGGAGCTTAAACCATGGAAACATGACAATCAGACCTTCGCTTGGTTGAAGTCTATGTAAGGCTTATCGCCATCTAAATTTACAGTGTTGAAAACATAAGAGAGGATTGCAAGAAGGAAATTTCCATTGGCTAGCTGGATGGCTCAAGTGAGCCATTCCTCGTTAGGAAAGCTGAAATAAGCACCACACCGCGTGAGATCGTGCAGGAATTGTGATTCAAGGTCCTTCCAGCTGTAGTTTCTTAGCATGAAAGCACAAAGACAACCCCACGCCATCTTTCTTAGGATAAGGGAGCAAAAGGAAAGCTTTGGCTTTGGGGGCTTCTTAGCTCCTGAAGTAAACGATAAAGTTAGAGATGGAGCAACAAGGGAAGCTCAGACCTCCAAGTCACCTGGCCCCAATTAACTCTGCTATACCCGAGGCTGCTAATGAAGAAGGAGCAAAACGGAGAAGAAAAGTTTCCATTTGTGACTGAAAACAAATGCTGTTTTACCCGACATGTCATAATCCTATTTCTACCCTCCAACCTAGAGAGTTTTAAGTTCAGCTTTGCATCCTTGCAGCCCAGAGCAGCCGTCCCAGCCCCTCCAACAGCACATGTTGAAGGAAACAGCATCGTCTTCTGCGACCACAAACCTCTGGTAGTGCCTAGATTCTGCCTCCGATAAACACCTCATTTTCTAAACCCTGAGTGACAGGCGAGCAGAGCGCTCCCCTTGTATCGTCCTCGGGATCACCCAGGGATGTCAGCGTGGCAGAGGAAAAGGAGAACAAGAAATCTCGCTTCTCCTGCCTCCAAGTTTGACAAGCCATCCTAGACAGGGGTTGTAATATTTGATAAATTTTCATTTCCCTTCCGAGGCTGTCAGGTAATCTTTTTATTGACAGCGCTACAGGGGTTTTTCTGTAGTCGCGGGGAAAAGGGCACGTGCTCTTGCTTGTTATTAAACCAAATACATATTTCGGATGGAGAAACAGCTACTACCCACCTCCGCCTACAAATAAATCCTCTGGGTGTGAGTCCTGCATAACTCCATACATCACGCAAGCCGTATGGAAGCCCGGTTCACCACACGGTGCCCTTGGAAACTCCCCAGCACAAATCCGGAGCCGAAACCACCGCTGGGTCTCCTTTTACCACCCAAGCGACCGTGCTTCCCCCTCTCTCTTAGGGGAGGGGGGATAATTTTACAGTGAATAGTCCTCAAATGCCAAGAGACGTTTCTGTGGCTTAAGTGTGACCACATCATTTCTAATAATACCCACCGGAAGTCACAGCTCGGTGGTGGTTCCCAAACTGCCATGTGAGGCCATTGGATCGAGCTCCCAGCCATGCAAGGAGTCGCACCAACCCTCATCCGCGAGCACAGCGCTTGCCAGCAAGGGATGAGGGCCCATATCCCGACCCAGGACAGGCTCTACCATCAGAGCTTGATGATGGAGGGAAGAAGAACCTGGGATGAAGGCCAACCAGCTCTCCCCTCCTGCCTCTCCATTAAAGGAAGAGGTAGAAGGAGGGAAGGAGTAGGGACAGACATGGATAACACTGAATTTTCCCCAGAAGCGAGAGAGCAGAAGGAACAAACCCACGAGCATTTATAAAGAACAGGCACAACTTCTGCTTCTCAGAAGGGATGTTACATCTTTGCATCCCGCACCAGGCAAAAAGCCAATGTGCCACAGAGCAAAGCCTCTGCTCAAGCCCAAGAAGATGGGTGAAGGCAAGTCCTGCTAAAACCAACAGCCATCCCCCCCATAATTTCTAGAGGTTTGAGTCGGACCCCATCCCGGTACGAAGCCCCTCGGCCTTCCCCACACGCTCTTTAAGCGCACGACAGCCCCATCGACTGCCAAGTCCCAAAGTACCCAGCCCCACCGTGCCTTGCAGAGGAACAGCATCGGCAATTTCAAAAGGAAGAACTCTCAAAAAGGAAAAATAAAAAAGGATCTCCAATGGGAAGTGATGGTATCCTCTGTTCTCACTGCACTGTTAGCGCTTCCCTGCAGAGGGGAAGCAGGTCAAGAAATATTGACCCATTTTAGAGGGAGAGGGCAAATAGCTTCTCTTTGTGTTGATTTAACCAATAAACGAAAATCATTTCAGTTAGAGGAGTCTTCCCTTAAAGCCCTTCTTTCCTTGTTATTTCATTACTGCACTTGGGGAAAGGTCACACAGAGAGAAGCCCAAGGTGTCGACTTCCCAGAACGATGAACATTCGATCCAGGAAAAGAAATTAAAGCAGGGCCAGAAATACCACCGATAACGGCGCCAATGAGAAAAAACTGCAACAATCCTAGGTAAAACCGCCAGATCTCCATTTCTTCCTTAAATGTTGCTTTCCAACCTCTGACTCTGACAAATGTTTAGAAGAGGAGGGTAATTCCTAAGCCAGGGAGGACCTTGCATCACCCACTCTCCATACCAAAGGTAGCAGAACCAGTGTTTCTACAGCCTTTTAGCAGAAAACTACCTCCACAGTGCCG